TTTATAATTTAAAAAAATATACACAAGAATGGTTTATGGATAGGGTTGAAGGTGGGAATCCACAAATAAAGCATATGTATATGCAATCACTCTTTTTCTAGTTTGTGTAATATTTTTTTTCATAATGCCTTATGATAACTAACTGTATCTACAAGCTCTAGAGATTTTTTTTTCTCAGAATAAATAGAATCTATAAATCAGCAGCATGTTAAACCATACTCTATTTTTGCACTAATTATATTTATTTAAAACACTATATTAACAATGGAATGAAAATGAAATAATCATGAGGTTTCTTATTTGTTTTTGTGGGTTCTTTTTTTGTTTTTGTTTTGTTTTTTGGGTTTTTTTTAAGAATAAATGCCCTGATTTTAATTTGGAAGGAATTAACATTGATTTCCTGAATAAGAAAAAAAATAAGTAAAAGTAATATTTTGAACTCTGACAAACCATCTGAATGGCTAAGGAAGCTAGGTAAACTGTCTCCATTCACTGTAGCAGGAATGATAGCATTCAGGGTGCTATAGCTTTGGCCTTAGGTAATGAAAATGAGTTTTCTGTTTCAAGAACACCTAAGTTGTATATCATAATGAAAACCTTTTATTGATTATCTTACATAATTTATTTTAAAATATAAGTAGCTGTTTTAAAACTTAATTTATATTTGATGTAAAAGTTTGAAAGAGTTTACAAAATATACATAAATAGTGAGAAGCACAGAAAACACTTATTTGATTTATATAAGTAGACAGGGGGTGCCAGAATATTCCATTGGTTATAGTAGACAATCTGTTAGCAAATACATCAGAGGCTTTCAGGCCAAAAGCTAATGAGGGGCAAAGTAGGAAACATATCCTTCTTGGGAAATAGCCATATTTGATGGAGAGATCAGATAAAATATAGGAATAATGTATATTTAATAAAATTGATTTAAATAAGAATTAAGAGGACTAAAAAAAACAGTTAATTAATATTAAAATTCAGGCTGGTTCACAGGAATGTGAAATTTTAAAAACAGAAAGAACAATTACAGTGAAGTGAGAACACAGGAAGAAGTGGAAATAAGTAGGCGATTGTATTAGTCTTAGAAAATGATACTTACCATAAAAGGAGCTTTGTAATATAAAGGTATCCTAAAGTCAATCAATTTTTATATTGGTTCTAAGTAGTTATGACAGCAGAATGCATTTGATTCATTGTACACAAATGGAGAACAACTTTTCATTTCTCTGGTTGTACACCGATAGAGTTGCACCATATGTACAACCATACACATAACATGTTCTTGGATACGCAGAATTAATATTGTCAAAATGACCTTACTATCAATCATTTTTTAAATCTTACAGGAATACAGGAATTCTTTGACAGTTCATTTGTCAAATAGAATTCATTTTAACTATTACTTATTCACAACCCTTCCCTTTACAACTCTTACAAAATATTTTTATACCTCTTTTCTATTTTCAAGTGATTTCTTGCTTTGATAAGAGTCTCAGAACTGGATCATACTGCTATCTGCTCAGAATATTTTACATTCCAACAGGAGATTATATCTAATCTCCCCCTGTGCTATTATTCTCCCTCCTCTAAATTCAACTCATCTGTTCTTCTCCACCCCAAAATCCAGTTGAACCCTTCCTTAACCTGCCTTCCTGTTATTGATTGTTGCTACTTTGGTCATGATATTTTTGTAAATTCGAGTACCTAAAAAATAACATCTCTTCTTTCAAAATCCTATTTCTCTAAGAAAAAAAAAAGGAAAACAATGGATGTTATTTGAATTGAAAAATAATGGAGTAACTGGAAAAGTTCTGGGCTACATATTTTATACTCAGATGACAATAGCATTTGAAATGTTTTATACTAAAATTTAAAAAAAAAAAACTCATTCACTAGTGTTATCTTGAAATTCCTCCAAACCTTCATTATACATACTTAGAAAAAAAGCAGCTCCAAGAGAAGAATGAAAGCTGCTTAAAAATATATTATTATGCATTGTTATCAACCAAACTGGTCCCTTGTTGACCACGTCTGGGTACATTTCGAAAATGTTCTGAACTAGCTTTTTTCATCAATAATAGGATCATAGAAAATATTGCTTTCTTTAAATGGAGGTATTAGCAGAATTAATTGAAAATTTTAAATGTAATGAACTATTTGAATCACAAAACATTGTAATGAAAAAGGCCACGTGCTATGGGTATTTTTGATAACGCAAATACAGAGATGAACCTGTATAAACCTCTAATGACCAGCAGCATTTCCTGAGGATCATATAATAGATTTTTATCTGGTACAGGATATAAAGGGAGAATGGACTTTTAGAGTAGATTGTTTTCAACATTGTTTAACCGTATGAAAGAAGATTTATAAGAAAGAATGCAGAGCATAGATTAATTAAAAGATTTCAAAGTAAACCGTATGGATTACCAGGCTTCGTGACTTTAAGAAAAAACAAAATGAATGCTTTATACCATTCAACATCAACACATTCCTTAACAATGATTTAAAGTCATTAATTAAATGTAGTTCAATGTTCTCCTCGGTGAAGTTTCAACTTTCATTAAATGGAGGCTGCAAAAAAGAAACAAAAATTGATATGCCGTCATGTCTCCCACAAACCTTTTCTACTTCAGATTTATTTTCTAGACCAGCATCACAGGTGTCAGTTTTCAACACCACACCACCAAAGTTTTTCACAGTAAATAAATACATGTGTACAAGCCTATACTCTGCATGCAATCAAGTCAAGTGTGATTTGTTATTAGATGTTTGATTCTGATGTTGCTTTTTCTACTCTAACCAGGTGCAGTGCACAGAGTTGGCAGTTATTTATAGTATAAATATATGTGGTGTGAAGGTCTTTGAGGAAAAAAGAATAAAGCAACCCACAAATATGAAACAATATTATCATTACTAAACCACATTTATGTCTGTTTATTTTATAATTTACTAATGTAAGGAATGACCTAGAGAAGAATTTAAGTATTTACCTCTCTTCTGTATGTTTTTAAAATTTTTATCTGAGGAATGTAAAATAAAACTATGGGTTATGAGGACAAAATAAAGGGTCTTGCTTCTTACAAAGCGTTCCTTCCTCAAGGAACACTGAGGATGCCATAAATTTAGAAGAGGGATTTTTTGTTTGTTTGTTTAAATTCTCAGAAATGAATTCTACTAAATATCCATGAGAGATTTCATTAGCAAAGTCATATTATAATTTACATAATGTTTAATTTATAAACAATAGGTAAATGAGTTTTGTGATATTCCTTCTGCCCAGCTATATTTTGCTATGTACTACTATCTTTCCTTTCACTACCCCTCACTCATCCTGGGTTGACCACTATTCTACTCTCTACCTCCCTGAGATCAAGATTTTAAGCATAGATTCACACATTTGAAAAACACCGTTTAAACTATTAATATAGAATGGTATAGAATCTAATAGAAAAACAAGACACTAACTGTAGCATATGGTCATATTCACTAGCATTGATACACATCTCACTGTGGTTTCACTTGTGATATCAAATTTTAATGTCCCTTTTAAAACAAATTACCAAGGCATGGAGCTTCCACAAAGACTGACACTAATGTTCTGAAAAGTTATTGGGAACTACAACATGTCACTTCTGATAATAAGCATAGTGAGTTGTTTCTTGAGCTGTATGTACGCAGGTACAGGAATATACATGTTTTAATTACTTGGCTGAATGCTCTGATGAACTAAAACTATGTTTGTATAAAAAAATTACTTGATACAACATAATACTTCTCTTTTAATTTTGATATTTATAATTCACTGTCCTATCAAAAGTGTTGAATAACAGTAAAACATGTATATTTTATCTTTGAGTAAGAAAATTAGCTAAAGCTTAAAGTACAATACAAATGATCTCAAGTTACAGAAATGAAAGCTGAAGCACAGTCCATCTAAGTAGGACCTCAATAAGGGGCATGCCAGACATTCAAATCCAAAACAAAAGATTGTTAGAGCTGAGGAAACATCACAAATTTTCCACTGTACAATAAAGAAAAAATAATCTAAATGGATAAAACGAATGAAATACCCACTTTCTTTAATCGGTAGCTTTGGTCATAGGTTCATATTGACAATAATAAACATAGAGTATAATTAATGTCACCGAGTACCAAAGTATATATATATATATATATATATATATATATATATATATATATATATATATATATATAAACATACAGAACTAATTACACAGCCTGTGCAGTAAGAGGTAACAGAGGTCATCTGATTCCCAGGCAGAGAATATACCATCTCTGTATCCCTAGTCATTTGGGACATGAGTGTGGAATAAGATAAAATATTACATTGAACAAGATTCTTTGTCAAGAACTGTACACTTTGACAATGTGAGTGAGATTGAAATCTGTTAGCAAAGAAGAAAAATAGTGTGAATTTTTAATTATATAACTAATACTGTTTGCCACAGATGGACAGAGATAAGTAAGAAGAGGGCAGAACAATAAATTTCTTCTCAGTAGGCTGCTGTCATATACAACTTGCCTATTAAGGTGATGCTGAGAACTTATCACTCCTCTATGAGAATTAGTGTATTAATCCGTTTTTTGTTATATGACAAAATATCTTCAGCAGGCTATTGCAGAAAGAAAAGAGGTTTCTTCTGGTTGAAGGTTGAGAAACTTCATATGTCAGTGGCTTTCTTGTTGGCAGAATTCCTGAGAAAACACAAAGTATCATAATGAGAAAGAAACATGAAGCATGTTTGTCCATGAGTGGGTGTGCACGCAGCACACATATGTGTGTTCTGTTCTCTTTCCTTATAAAGCTACCAGTATTTAGATGACCTCCTCCAATCTTAATCACCTCCCAAAGGCCCTCCCTCTAAACACCATGTTAGGATTAAGTTTCCAATCTCCTAATTCCTCACAGTAAGTTCAAATTTCAACATACAAACCCTTAGAGATGCTCTCAAAATATATGCAAATCGAGCTGGAGGGCAGGAGAGGCGGCGCGGCCGGTCCTGTCCTCGCCATGAGGCCGCAGCAGGCGCCGGTGTCCGGGAAGGTATTCATTCAAGGAGACTACAGCAGTGGTACACGCTGCCAGTTCCAGACCAAGTTCCCCGCGGAGCTGGAGAACCGGATTGATAGGCAGCAGTTTGAAGAGACAGTTCGAACTCTAAATAACCTTTATGCAGAAGCAGAGAAGCTTGGGGGCCAATCGTATCTTGAAGGCTGTTTGGCTTGTTTAACAGCATATACCATTTTCTTATGTATGGAAACTCATTATGAGAAGGTTCTGAAGAAAGTCTCCAAGTATATTCAAGAACAGAATGAGAAGATATATGCTCCCCAAGGTCTCCTCCTGACAGACCCTATTGAGAGAGGACTTCGAGTTATTGAAATTACCATTTATGAAGACAGAGGCATGAGCAGTGGAAGATAAACCATAAAATTAAAGATCCCACATCCAGCTGGGACCCTCATCTACCCACTGGCTGATCACAGAGTGTCCCTACCTCCTCTCCAGAGCATCATTCCTTTGTATCTGCTGCCAGAGCCACGGTGCCATTTACTCCAAGGACTAACTTTCTAAAATTCCACACCTGGAGTGACCTCTAGTCGCTCAGCATCCACTTTGTGTCTTTAAATTGTGTAGGATTCTGTAATCTTTTGATTCGTTTCTAAGAAAACACAATGAAGCATTTCACATTTTTTTATTCAAAGTGATTATAAAATATGCAATTGGTCAGCCCAATGCAAAGTTTTATTTATTTCTTATTTGCCACCAGTACCATGAAATCTATTCATTCCTTGGGCCAATTTTCCAGGTGGCTTTAGACTTCAAGGAGTTTATATTAGTGAATGTTCAGTCTTATTCCCCCAAATTAATAAATGGCTTTTTTCCAGGTGAGGGATAGACTGTGTCTGTGGTTATGCTGATGTATTTCCCAGATTTCAAAGAACTGCCAGTTTTGCCATGATTCAAATCTTGAGATTGATTTCTGTTGTTCAGTTTTCAAACCGAAACTCATTGAAAAAATACTGTATAATGTTATTTGTTTTACTATAGCAGTTATATCTAATTAAAGCAGTATTGAATGCAATTTCCAGTTATTTTATTTGGAGCCTTTTATGTTATTATTGCATTACCTTGAATGTTGGAAAGATGTGGTATGTGTTGCTTGTTCATTACACAAATAAGTAAGCACAATAAAGTGGATGCTAAACCATCAAACACATATGTCCCTGCTGTGTCCCTGAATGTGTAATAAGCAAGTATAGTAAATATTTTAATTATAGTTTTGTTATAAATATAACTTATGAGAAAAAAAATTTGATAGGCATAATACTGTATATTGCTAATTTTTACCCTACTGGCAACTTTATGATTTATAGATTCCTCATACAGCCTGTTACAGTATTCAGTGCACAGAAATCTTATAATTGGTTTCAGATAAGTTAAGTGACTTCCAAGTTAAACTCTTAAGTCTGAATCAGTACTTCTAGCTCTTCTTTTGTCTGTATGTTCCTAGTGTTTGGGTTTCTTATGCTCCTCATTCTTTTCTGGGTTTGAGAGCACTGTTTTTGGGAGAAAGTTAAGAAATATATTAGGAGAGAACGAAGCAGTTAAAGGATTTACTTTCAGAGATATTGTAGGTGCTAATACTGGATTTAACCTTTCAGATGTAATTTCTTTTCTGGATGTGGTATTATTCAATAAATCCCATAGGTCTGTGTAATATTTTAATTGTATAAAACTTTGTTACTTTATAGCCTCTTATAGTGTGTCTGCCTTTTAAACCCATTGCAATAACTTTGCTGAAATATTAACACATTAGTAAAACTTTTCTTAAAAAATATATATATATATGCAAATCCTAGCCACCAGCTAAACAACCTGCAACACTAAATTACAATGAAATGAAATTCTGATAACATCATATTTTATCACTAACACAAACACCAAGAGACTAATTACTGTAAACCAGGTACAGTGAAGGTGGATTGGAAGAGGATTTTTTCGTTTTCCTTTTACTTGTTCTCTTGAATGGAAGATGAAGAAGGAGAATGAGGAAGAGAAAGAGAAAGAAGAAGATGACAGAATATGACCTGTGAGTGAACTAGGAAGAATAATAATGAAATACTTTGTCATTAAATTATTAATTGGTGAACCACTTGGCTATGAATTTTCTACCTTTGTATTTTTCGAATTTATCAATGAAAATATATGGTTTTGTAATGAAAGGCATATTTGGCAATCCAGAAATAATGTAAGCTGAGATAAAATTTCACACATTTTTATTGGGATTGCTCATTTATCAGTAATGAGATTGTAACTGATGTGAATCTGCAATCTGTGTATGGGGTGAAGGTGGGAGTTCATAACCCACTAGAATCAAAGTGTGGAATATGATATGTCAAGAAATTTGTAATGTTTTGAACAACCCACAATAAAAAATTTAAAAAAAAAAAAAAAAAAAAAAAAAAAAAAAACATACACAGTTTTGTAATCATAAGTAGGAAGTTATTGAGTTCAGCTCCTCGGGGATTTTCTGTGCACATAATAAAGCACATATTCTCCAACCAGATCATAAGCCTTACCTTGAATTCTGAATCCACCTCTTACTGGCTATGTGACAGTGAACAACTGATGTCTCTATCCTCTATCATATAAAGGCACAGTATTAATTCCACCTCATATAGTACATCTGAAAATTAAGTGAGGTAATATGTACAGGGTCACTAATTAGGGTTTTGTTTCTGGAGTGCAAATGTGTGCACATGTGCAGATTCTGACCACGGTTGGCAAAATAATCATGGTCCTTCAACTGAAAAGAAAAACAAAATATATCATACAGAGAAAGATATGCAAATTTAAAAAGGGTAAGAATAAATATTTGGATAAAAAGAGATATCTTGTTAAAATTAGTTAATACTCACAGCACAGAGCCTGGCACACAGCCAGAAATAATGTCTTTCTCTTTCTCTTGTTTCACCAAATAATATATTTTTCTTATTATGTTTCATTGATATTATTAAATATTTTGACACCAAAGCTGCTTGTAGACCAGAGTACTAGTTCATGTGAATCATCAAAATATCTACAAGAAATGAGACTAGTATGTTTGGGAAATAATTTTTTAATGTTTCTGCATGAAATGTCAATAAGGCAAAAAAGTTTTTCATGAAAGTAATATTCACAACATTTGAAATTTTAATAAGTTCTTATTTCCACATATGAACTTAAAATCCTTTTCTTATTTATTTATTTATTATTATTTTTTTCAATGGTGATTCACAGTGTGAGGTGTTTTTTTTTTTTCCTTCTTCCACAACTTTCTCATGTCTTCGTTTTTGTTTTAAAAAGTGGAAAGACACCACTAACCTTACATCCTTTCTGTAAGCCGCATTTGAAGGCAAGACAGCAGATAAGATTTGAACACCTGCTATCCATAATTTTAAATTCAGATTTTAGTGTGGAATCCTTTTAAGCAGGCAGGTTTGCTGATTGCAACAAAATATGAATGGCTAATCAATACAAGTGAAAATTTAAATAAGAATAAGTAGCATTCAGCCACTTCTATTAGAGCTTTCTCTAGGAGTTTTTGGTGTTGACATTCTAAAGGATGCCTTCCTTTAAATTTTGGCTTCTTTGTGAACAGATACTATTCTTTATTACATTTTTCATCTGCTGATAGGGATTTTTTAAAAGCCTCTGGCATCATATTTTTACATTCTTTTAAGGCTCATTTACTTAATTTCTTTGTTCTTTCTACTGCTGTATTTATATGGAGGAAGCTCAACAAATAGCATGTAACTTCATAGTCATTGCTTTTTTCTGCTTCCTGTGCCTGGCTCTTTTGGATCTCTAGCTCATTTTAAACCATCACCTTATAGCTTATAACTCTTCACAAAGCCTAATGCATTCATTTGCACAGTCATTTTTATTTTTTTTTTTTCCTTCTGCTCCTTTTGTCAGTTCTTTACATGAATCTGCAGAGTTGGCATTACTTTGCTCTGACTCTGAATTAAACCTATCAGGGACTTGCTTATTTTTTGCTTCTTATTTTAAGCAAAACAACATCATGAGTTTTATGAATCAAAAGACTAATGAGCCCATCTGTCATCTTTTGCAAGAATGCCACAGTGAATCACTTTTTTTGACTTTAACTGGCACTGGGAAATTACTACATGTAAATAGACTCACTGAGATTTCAAAACAAGAGTGGTGCATAAAAGAATTGCTGTATAGTTTCTCCACAATGTTTGCCCGGGTTTAGAGCTTTATTAGACAATTGGGAACAGTCTGGGCACTGGAGTTTAAGCAAAATGTTCAGATTTGCCAAGAGTGTAAAGGAATATTAAATGAATGGAAAATAGAAACTTCAACAGCAATTATAATGTTTGGGAATTATTGTCAAGGTAAATGAAAGCCTAAAGAATAAATACAAGACCTTTAATAAGACAAAGAATCTGTTGGTTAGAATGTTTAACATTGGCCCCTAAGCTGAAAATATAATAGCCTACCTTTTGAAAACTTGTGAAGAAATTCTCCTTCCATTGAAATACTTAGGCAAGCCATCATGCCAGTCTGAAATTATTCCTTAACTAAAGTATACTTGAATATTTCTTCTTTGTTTTACTTTGTGGTAAGACTTTCATGAATTTTTCAAACAGGAAGTAGGTGAAGATGAAGATGGTCCCAAACATCATTAAGAGAGCTCAATGTCCCTGGTATTATGCTAATCACATGGAACTACAATATCTTAAGTATCAGGAAATTGTATTTTATAGAGAATCAATATCTTCTCTGATTTCTGGAGATATGTATCAGTGAATGCTCTGTTAGAGAAGCAGAAACTCTAAAGAATATGGAAGATTGTTTATTCTGAAGATTAGACTTTTCGCGTGTACCAAAAAGATACAGGAGCAAAGATCAGTAAGGATAGAGGAAAGTCACTAAAGGAAGGGAAAAGTGTTAGCAAAATCTGTAGAAGGCTTTTGTCTCTACACATAGGGTGCATGAGCAGTCCCTAATGATCAGCAGAGCAAGCAACTATAAATAAGATCTGTACCCAAAGCGGGAGAAATAAAAAGATAAATAAAATCCACGAGGATAAAGGTAAGCTCATGAGGATAAAGAGAAGCCATATCTATCATTCACTATTTTTCTCATCAATTATAACTCCACATCTAGCCTTGAGCGTTCTTCCTTGTGTTGGCCCTACACATACACACTACCTACAAACTTGACCTGTATAGGGACCTAAAAGAACTCTGTGTTGGCTGCAGTCCTCTGTCCCTGTGATAAGCACCAGATAAGCAGCACATCTGAGACTAAAGTAATGTCTTTGGGCCCCAGCTTCCAGATTAAAATTTTATATCCACCTTCCAAACTTCACAAATTTCTTTTGCATCCAGCCTACCCCAGAACCATATAGAGAAGAGCATTTGAAAACTAGAGTTAGAGTTTAATCAAATGAACATAGTACAATACTGTTACCGAAAGCTTGGTCCTTGTCCCCAGTGCCAATCCTATAACAAGGACACTGTTTTGAGAAAAGGGAAATAAAAGTTTCATTGCAAAAGAGAAGCACAGGGACTCTTCTCCCAGAGGCTATGATTCTGCCTATTGGGGAAAAGAGAGGACTTTTAAAGAAGCTCTTCAAAGGCTACATTCCAGGTGTTCCCTGACAGTGGGTCCCAGGTGCATCCAGGGGGTGTGTTGAAATTCACTTCTTAATCTGGGAGATAGTCACTTCCTAGATCTTCCAGTGACATCTCCTTCCTGTAGTGGGTGTTCACACAATGACAGATAACTCAAGGGAACCTTGTTCCCTGTCCCCCATTAGAGAGAGAGAAAGGGAGAGGGAGAAAAGGAAAGGGAAAACATGTCCCTATAAAAATAAGCAGCAAGGACTATATTCAAAGGTAAAGTGGGCCACTGTTACATACCATTGAAAAAAAGTATCTGGTATCTAGTATCTAGACTACCTGAATGTTTCCTGAATCAACACTGGGTTTGATACCTTAAGTCAGTTATTTGAACACTCTATGTCTCAGTTTCCACCTGTTTCAAGTGTGGATAACAATAGAACTTGCTTCATGGGTTTATTGTGAGAAACAAATAAATACATGCAATGTGTTTATAGAACATTAATGTCATGTATGCTTTTCCTCATTTTATCCTATTTTTTAAAAAAGGGCCCGGTTTTGCAGCCCAGTGGTAAAGCACTTGGC